AAACTAGGGATGGGAGTATCAATATAGATATCAATACTGACTCAAAAATGTGAGTATTGATACTATTATACAAATTGCAAATAGTAAAAGTACACATAGTAAAAATATACAAATAGTAATTAGTACATGTACATTTTCAGGTTGTCCTATTTAAAGCCCATTTGTATACATATATTTAAATAAATCCCTTCACCCTCAAGATTAGTAGCCTGATTCAACAGCCGGTTTTACTTCGTTTCACTTCGTACAAACCGTCTGACCTCGCAGCCTTAGATTTCGTTCGCTAGATGGTAAGCGGGTACTTTTTATCATTTAACCACTCACTGCTATTTGGTCATGACGTATGTAATGCATCACTAAGGGGGATTAACTGGTATATTAAGCTTTTCCCAAATCCCATAGGAAGAAGGACAATAACGTCTTTCCCCTTGATAAAATTCACCAAACATTCTCTTTGTTCCGACTTTAAATCCTCGATCTTGGGAATCATTGTCAACACTGAATATATCACTCTTCACTGATTGACTGGTACCCGAACTTGTACTTCTGGGATTTTTGCAAATCGTCTATTATATTTTGGTTCCTGATCTAGTTGCTGAAGAGAAATTAAATTGAGTGGAGGCACTAGGTGGCGCCAGCTTGGCTACAAGATTAGACCAGTATAGAGAATGTGTATCAATAAAATTATCCTCAAAAATACTTGGCTCTGAAATGTCTCTGTATAAAAAATACAAAGAGATAATATTCTCTATTTGCCAGGTAACAAAATAGGTTAAAAAGAAAAAAAAATCAACATATTTTATCATCATAAACAAGCATCACCATCTTTCATAAATTATTTTCAGCAATTTTTCCTACAACATTTGAATATTTTCCATTCTGCTTGACAGCTGTAACCCCCATTCGAAAACGCCAGTCTTCTCCTGCTCATATTGTCATATCCATCATTCACTCGCTGACAGTTTTCAGTTTTCATCACATTTGAAAAATCCCCTTTATATTCCCTCGCTAACTGTGGCACTCTAATCACATCCACACTGACAGAGAGAAATCACCAGGATCCTTCATTGTGATGGATGAGGTGGGCCATTGTCTCATTAAGGTCTGGTCCAGGTAATCGGATCTGGACTAGACTCGGGAGGCCTGGGGATGTGAGGTAATCAGGTAATCAAGAGAGAGCAGAGTCGGAGTGGACAGGGCAGACACAAGAACTGATCATGGGAATGTGAAGGATTGTTGACAGGTTCTTGGAATGTTCAGCATCACTCAGCGTGCAGAGGTACACAAAATTACTTCTTTGTTTGGAAGATGTATGTTGTATTCATAGGCTTCAGGAATGTGATATTTTCTGTTATGGATGCCATTTTGAGGACTTTTGCCCATTTAAAAACATCAGTAATTGCTATGTCAATGGTCCTTTAATTTTTCATCTTTTGAATTGTTGACTTTTTGTGACAATAGAATTGTTATGTTACTGAAATACTAAACATTTCTCAATAGAATGTGACTTTCAACATTAAATAACAGTACATTATTTTATATTATTTGGTGTGTATCTATGTAGCTTTTACCCTTTTCTTAACTGTGTCTCCTCATCATTAGGTTACTCTGAATTTTGACTGACTTGAGTTATTGATGGGTTGATGGGATTCATGGATGAATAATCCTTTACTGTTCTGCTTTTAAGGTTTGAGTGCTCAGAAAATTCCAGTTTCCGCTTATCCCCTTTCTTTACCCATTGCTCTGTACTTACTTGCAATTTAAAAAAAATAAATAAAATGAAAACTCTGGGTCATAGCCTACATGTAGGGTTCAAAAATGTACATGAACATTTTCTGCTGTGCTGAAATGGCACTATGAAGAGACAAGACTTTCGGTTTTGGAAATCAATGGACTGGTTTATAATGAGCAAAAATACTCTTATAGTTGTTTATTTTCTAAATAAAACAAATATTATGGCCACTTTAAATTATATAGGCCTATATAGGGCCTACTTATCTTCATTACAACAGCCATATGTGATTCCTGGTCCTTCTTGATTTAAACAGCAGATTTCTGCCTCTCTGGTTGTTGGAGTGAATCCTTATCAGCTCACAGCAGGACTCATGTATCAAGCCTAATGCGTTGCTCAGGGGAACTACGGCAGGGTCATTCACAGGGCAGATCCAAACTCTAACATACAACACTGATAATGACATGATACATGCGGTAGGCCCGAGCTGAGGTCTTATTGTGGACATGGGGAATGTGCGGTGTTACTCCTCCCCCTAGTGGAAAAGTGGTGCCAAGTGAGCAGCTGTATGTTCACTGTAAAGATGAAGGCGGTGTTTTGGAGTGAGCGGACCACTCCTTCTCCACTCTGTGGAGGCATCGGTATGGAAGATCATTTATTCCTTCAGATTTTGAATTTTAAATACTGCTGAATTTCTCACTTTCACTTTTTAAACTCTGAACAAGATGTTTAAATTATTTTTATTCTGAATTTTAGTTGCTGAAATTTTAAGTTTTTAATACTTTTCAATATGTTTCAAATTCAAAATAAAATTTCACCTTTTAAATATTCAGCACATACATTTCAAGCCCTCAAATTCAACTGTCAAAATTCAGAGTGTAAAATTCGCAGTGAAAAAATTCACAGCAAAGATCCCAGATGCCAAGGCAGAAGCAATCGGTCATGTGTGAATCAGGAGCAGCAAGGAAACCCGACCGAAGTCTGATGGGACCCGTCGGAACCATCGGGCTCAGGTCGGATTCAGACACATCAGCGCGTCAGCTGTTTCCTGTCTACAGTAAAACTGACTCTGAGTGTTCAGAAGATCAGAGCACTGCACTTCTAGTTTAGACACAAGTAAACTGTGTTATTCTTATTTGTGAAATGTGGTGCAATACTTACGTGATTTTTAAAGCATAGATTGGCACAGCAAGTAGATTCACTATCACCTGATCTGTGATTCACCGTAATCTGGTGTTGTGTGGATGTAAACAGACACACGTAAACTGCTTTTGCCTTTTTACTTTTAAAGAACACATCAAACTGGATTAACAGCGCGGTTTTGTGGACTGGATGTCATTATTTGTGGAGGATAATTTCTATGGTTAATATGGATGAAATGCTGCACTTTAAATTTACCACTTTACCAGAGGTGAGTAATAAAGTTTTCTCATTATTTTCGCTACATCCCGCGTTTGTATTTTGCGTCTCTGTGTCCGTTAGAGGCCACACAAACAATATCCAACGTGTGATTTTAAATGCCGGGTTCGGACACAAATATATTAATGCCTATCGGGGTCGGGTCAGATTCGGCAGACGCAGGCTGGGCTCAGACAGATAAAATCGTCCCGATCTACTCTCTAGTGAGGAGGGCTGCACTACATACACTCTGTGTGCAGGTTTACACTTAAGAAATAAAAGAGAGGAGGTTTTGATGAGGCTAATTCTGACTGATCAGATTGGTTAAAGTTCTTATCAGTTTTTTAGAGCTCAAGCTCTCTCCACACACGTAGGAGCACTGTGGCGTATTGCTGCCATCCACTGGTCATCTATGGTACTGCAGTAGAGAGAAGTTTAGCTCACACTTTGAAATGGAGATTGACTTGACACAGTCAGAGTTCTAGAGTCATTTCATGAGAACTTTGGTCCACGTTCAAATAGAGGAAGCTCTAATGTTTTCTATTTGTTTGTAAAGCATCTCTGAGTGGCCGGGCTAAATCTTGGACTAGAGTGAAGGGGAAAGCACCTTTAGAAGCATTCTCATTTCCAGAAGTGGAGTGACTCTTTTTGGCACACTTTGGAACACAGCACAGTGTGTTAGTAGTAGTGATGGTAGTAGTATCTAAAATAACTGCTAATAGATAACTTAATATAAAGGAGGCAAAGTATGCTTTTCATTGCTTTACAATGCCAAACGCTGTGACTGACACGACACTCCCTTAGACTACTTCTTTATGCAGTTCATGCCAGAAATGTGCAAGTTATGTGACAATAATATTGAGGTTCTTTCTTCACACACAGCCTTGGACCCTGGGAAAGACCTGCAAAATTAATAAAACCAAAATTGAATATAAAACAAAAGTAATTATAAAATTACTTGAAACCCAAATTAATTTGTGTGGTTTATTAATCAAAACAAGCTAAATTATTAAGCACTGAAGACAGGATAAAGAAGACTCCAAGAATCAATTCAGTTACACCAGTAAGTAAATTTGATTATTAACGTGTAAATTTAAATTGATGCGTGGTCTGGACACAACCACACTGCAATAAATAAAAAGCGGAATTAACTACTTTAGTAGCTAGTTAGTTTCTATAATGAACCATAGAAGTGATTTATTCAACCCTCCACAGCTAAAATCTGATCATAGTACAGAAAAATACCAAGTTCCTCACTAGTGCAAAGAAAAAGGTGTACAGATGAATGGATTTTTTGCATTCTTCTATGCAGAGAACTCCTGACATTTCTCACAGGCTGATCAGCTGTAAGGTCTCTCTAGCTGTCTTCTCTCTGTCTTTCTTGTGAAGTGTGATGAGGCTTCCCCACAAATGTTTTCTTACAGACTGAACAGGAGTGTTACTCCAAAATATCTGTTGGTTTCCTCAAAGAGTTGAGATAATTTACAATAGTTGAGTAATCAAATCAATCATTTTGTTGAGTTTAAGTTGTGTGTCAAATATTCAGAGTGTTTTCTTAGCTTCTGAAAGTGCTTTCATAGTCCATGAATGCTCTGCATGTTTGCGGACACCAGATTTTCAAAAATTCATTTTGCAAAAATAAGGCAGAACACCATCACAAATTTTGGATAAGTTAAAAACATCTAGTCTTTCTAAAACAATCCATTTGATGTTGGTGGGTGCTATCATTTTTTGGTATAACATGGTAAAGATGGCACCAAATTAATTTTTTCCATTTTTAACACTTGGAAAAAATGTATCTATCGATCTATCGATCTTCTAGAGCGTTCATCACAGAGGCTCAGTTTTAAAATACAAAGTACACAGCATGTGTGGGAAGGTTTATGTTCATATCAAACATCTGTCTTTGAAATTGCTCTTTCCACAGTCCTTCAAAGATGCCCTCAAATTTGAAAGAGTAAAATTTACAAGCAAATTCAAGCCCCCAGAAATCTGACAAATCAAAAGTACATGTGTAAAAGTCCATATTCTACAAGGCACATTTGACCGACCTTAAATAGTTTTTTAGATACAACAATCTGAAAGTGGCTCCTTGGACAACTCTGCTCAAAACAGGTCAGGGCAGAGTTGACAAAATATTTTTTAATGACAAAACTATAAAGGAGTTAGCAGGTAAAATTTGGAACTTTTCCCATTGGAAAGTGTGTGAACCTCCTAGAATTTTTTCAATCAAATCTGAGATAGTCGGGCAGGGTCATTCGGAGATTTGGCATGGAATGACCCAGGGGCGAATTTGAAGCCAGGCCCTATATTATGAATAAGATTTTGTTAACAAGCAAAATAGCGGGAAAAACACCAGAGTCATGTAGAGCGGGTCTACAGACAATTTAAGACTAAAATGGCTTACAGCAGCATTTACATAGAGAGGGACCCCAAGATTACAATGAAAACCAATAGGAGCCAGAGGAGCCCACATGTGAACTTCCTATTTGGCACTTTAGCTATGTCCCTTTATATATGCAGTCTCTGGTGTGTCTTCATATGTTTTTTGAGAGTACGTTTTGTAGCAAACACTTTCTCACAGTCTGGGCAGCTGAATGGTTTCTTCCCTGTGTGTCTCCTCATATGGTCTTCAAGCTGACCCTTTCGGGCAAATGTTTTCTTACAAACTGAACAGCTGAATGGTTTCTCCTCTGCGTGTGTCCTCATATGTATTTTGAGATTGTCTTTTAAAGCAAACGTGTGCTTACAGACTGAACAGCTGAATGGTTTCTCCCCTGTGTGTATCTTCATATGTCTTTTGATATTAGTTCTGAAAGCAAACACTTTCTTACAAACAGAACAGCTGAATGGTTTCTCTCCTGTGTGCGTCTTCATATGGTCTTCAAGACGATCATTTCGGGCAAATGTTTTCTTACAAACTGAACAGCTGAATGGTTTCTCCCCTGTGTGTGTCCTCATATGTGTTTTGAGATTGTCTTTTAAACCAAACATTTTTTTACAAACTGAACAGCTGAATGGTTTCTCCCCTGTGTGCGTCTTCATATGGTTTTCAAGATGACCCTTTCGGGCAAATGTTTTCTTACAAACTGAACAGCTGAATGGCTCCCCTCCTGTGTGAACTCTCCTGTGTATGTCTAGTTTATATATAGACCCAAAACTCTCTTTACAAACAGGGCACTTGTGTGTCCAGCTCTCAGCTCCTTTGCCAGTTCTTGACTTGTCTCCATTGTTCACAATGGCTCTGATTTCTGGTGTCAACTTGTATTTGGGGGACAGACATGAGTTTTGCGCAGTGGTGCTTCTGGCACCGAGCTGGACTTGGTTGTGGTGGTCTCCATCAGCCCCTGTGTCCATGTGTGCAGGTGAACAGTTGAGTGGAGCTCTCCAGTCTTCATCACTGTCAGAAGAGTGCTCTGTGTCTTCCTCACTCTCTGAGTGGACATGTGTCTCTGTTCTGTCCTCAAAGTGGACGTGTATCTCTGCTTTAATGTCTTCTTCCTGTGTGTCCTCTCTCTGCTCAGTTTGTCTTTGTTGTAGCGGTAAGGACTCCTCTGTCTTCACACTCACCGCAGTAAACTCTGGGATAGACCTGAAATAATAAAAGACACATTTGTATATTTCAAACCAAATCTGAATTTGTGTAATAGAAATTAATAAGAATGAATGAGTAATAAAATAAAGAATTGCAGTTTGAAAGTGCCTGAGACTCACACTTGCAGCTCATCTTCCTCTTGTTTGATGTTATGTTCTTCTTTAATGTGTGGAGTCAGACCAGGACTCAGAGAGGAGAGCTGGACAGCTGCAGGAGGTAAGAGACACACTTATACATGCAGTCTTGTGACATGAACACTCTGAACTTGTCTGTAGGCTACTTTAAGGGTGATGGGTTGTCTTTTCTCTCTATGAAGTTGTAAATACGTTTTAGTCAATATCTGAAGTGATTTGGAGTCCTACAGGTTCTTCTGCTGTTATAGCCATGGAGCACGTTTCTAACGAGCTTGTTTTCTACATCATGTGCATTTTTCATACTTTTTAAACACCCATATGGAACGTCACATAGGATTTTGAACACCCATACAGTTCTTGTAAAGCTGTTAAAATCCATTAAGGGTCCTCCCGCTCATCCCTGGGTCTATACCGAATCCCAATTCCAGTGTTACCTCTGAAAATTTTACATTTATGTTAACAAGGACTATACAGAATACATTCACCAGTTGCGACGTAGTGTCCATCACCAGGGTGGGTTTGAGATGAGGTACCTTCAGCACTTTGCGAAGAATCCTCACAGTCCTCTCCGGCAGCTTGCTCCCTTCTTAAACCTTCATTACTGGCTCGTAGCTTTATCACCAAGTCTTTAACCTGCTGCATCTCATCAGCCATGCCTACTACAGATGAGGAGACAAACAGAATCAGGAAAGTGGTCACACGGCTCAGTCAGGTGCACTCAGGTAAGGCCAGGCCATGGTCCAACACCGGGCCTGCTACTGTTAGATTAAAATAGCTGAGAGCCTATTGCCTATACTATTGCACCAATAAACAAACAATTACACCTTTAAAGTGCATGTCTCAATTTACAAATCCTGCCAACAACGCCACAATTGTGACCTAAAGTACCCTTTCAATAAATAATGTTTAAAATACTAAAATACAGTGTCAAATACCCAAAGGGCACCCAAGGGCACAGATAAGTTTGTAAATAAAAGGACAGCGACGTGACTTTAAGAGAATTAAAATGTATTAAATGGCTAAAGGAGCAAGTAAAAAATTTTTAATGATTTATTCTAAAAAAGCAGGCAGTGGTTAAAACAATAAAAATTGCCAGTATTTATTAATATACTACTAAAACCAGAATAAAACCTTGCAGCCCCTGGGCGAAGGAAAGGAAGTCCTGGAACAGAAATAAATCTTAAAACTCAACCAAACAACGACGACTTTAGAGGGGGATCCAGAACAAAAGCAAAGTGCTACCACGCAGTCACAACAAAATAACATAAAAACCCAAAGTGCACACTAAGAGGAACGGGCTAAACCCCTCCCAAATACGACCCGATATATTAAACCAAACTAAAGCTAAAAGCCCAGGGGCAACTATTAAAACCACGTTTATTATTGGTGCAGTTTAAGGTAAAGTTAAAATAAATATAAATATATATGAGGTAACTTTAAAATTAAAACAGTGCAAAACCAACCCATAAATCAACTAAACGAAACCAACAAAACAAGACAAAAACAAAACAATAAAACAAAAGCAGACCAATCCTTAAAATCTCACATACTCGGGGTAAAAGATGTGAGGCATCACCTTTCAATAGATCCATGGATACTGCCGCTCGGCCAGATCCATGCGCTCGGCTCGGCCTATTTAAGCCCGACTTCCGCTGGCACAGGAAGTTGGCGTCAGGTGATTTAAAAAGTAAGGGCGCCCCCTGCTGTCCGTCACACATAGGCTAAAAGGTGGATCCCTGGGATCTTCTGATGAGCACGACTCTTGGGCTCAGAGCCTTCAGAGACGAGTGGTTCTGCTGGTCCTCGTGTTTGGAGCGGCGCAGCCTCCTCAAAGTTCGTTATCGAGTCTCAAACAGCGCACATATGTCCTCAGCATTCAGCTGCTCTTCACAAACGCTCTCCAAGTTATGGACATATTTAATCGTTTTGCCAGTGTGCCACAGCTCTGCTCTACCGTGGTGTTGCGGTTGGTAAAAAGCGGTCTGTACAAGGCTTAGTCATTCATTTGGTTCAGAGATGCTTTCGCATAAACAAACTGTTCTTTTGACTCTTGTTTCAGTTCTTGTTTTGTTTAGATAATTTCTACTTCTCTACTAACAAAATGTTCACATTAACATCATAAATAAAGTTTTTAGTTTGTAGAGCTCAAGCTCGCTCCACACACTTCTAGGAGCACGGTGGCGTATTGCTGCCATCCACTGGTCATCTGTGGTACTGCAGTAGAGAGAAGTTTAGCTCACACTTTCAAATTGAGATCATTAACACAGCCAGCGCTGTGGAATGATTTCATGAGAACTTTGGTCCGAGATCAAATAGAGAAAGCATTAAAGCATTTTTGAGTGCCCAGGGTAAATCTTGGACTAGAGTGAAGAGAAAAGCACCTTTAGAAGCATTCTCGTTTCCAGAAGTGTAGTGACTCTTTTTGGCACATTTTGAACACAGCACAGTGTGTTAGTAGTAGTGATGGTAGTAGTATCTAAAATAGAAAAAAGTTATCTATTTTTAAAATACTAAAAATAGATCTAAATGAACTTAATCAGTAGTGAAAACAGGATTAAATGGACTGTCGGGATACTAGTGTAATGTCAGCATTTAATTGCTGATTGTTTATTTTCTTCTGTTAAAAACAGAAATGTGCACAATATGTGATGATAATATTCAGGTTCTGTCTTCACACAGCCCTGCATCCTGGTAAAGACCTGCAAAATGAATAAAACCAAAATGTAATATAAAATAAAACAAAACTAATCCTAAAATTACTTGTTTTTACTGGAACAGCAGCATCATGGAGAGGGAGACTGGACAAAGTCATCAAGACCCAGCTGGACTGTCCTCTGGACTCAGAGCAAGAGGAGAAAGGAGGCTCATGGTTAAACTCACATCTGTGTGTGAGTGTCTCCTCCTGCAGGAAGCCGTGTCTGCTCTGGAGCAGCTTCAGTGACAGATGCGCTCTCACTGTGTGACCAAGAGGTTGGTGGTGATTGGAGGGGCCTCACTTCTGTCCCCAGGCAACTGTAGCTACAATAGTTTACTACCTTCGGGTATGGACCGAAGGCTGTATACTAATGCATTATTATGTTATCTTGATCTTGATTTTGGTTTTCCAGCTGTTCTTGACCTTTATGTTGCAACATTGTAATTTCCCCATTGTGGGACAAATAAGATCGTATTCATGACATGTGCATAACTTTCATTTAGATGCGTTGGCAAAAGCACACATGGGAGCAGTGGAACAATCCAATAAATTGCTGGGTGACTGCTGGTAAATACACTTATCTCTAATGTGTTATAATGTCTCTTTTACATGGATAATTTTGAATTAATGCAGTATTTGGTTTGAGCATTTTACTTACTTATGTAGGCTACAGTTTCTATGTCCAGAATTAACAGTTTTTTTGTTTGTTTGTTTGTTTGTTTGTTTTTTAATTCAAATGTTTAATTTCGTGTTTTTACTTTTTTTTTTTACTATTCCAAGTTCCCTTTGCTAAATGCTTGCGTACCTGGCTGGTTTGGAAATAATGGACTTGTCTGCGACGCTTCAGTATTTCATTTATAGCTTATTATTTGGTCCTACATCCTTGGCCTTTCCACTAGATGGCGCCAAAACACAACCGCACGATCATATTTACTCGTTACATAATTTGGCTGAGTCCCAGAATGTTTTGACCAATCAGGGCGCAGCAGTGCGCCGCTCCACGACCCGAGGCGCTGACGGTCTACTCTGCGGTGACAGCCTGTACTCTGTTAGGAACAAAGTCTATCTATTTACTCCCCGATGTACAGAGGAACCAGGCGATCTTTGGCACCGCGTGAATGTCTCGCCTTCAGCTCCGTGCGCGCAGCTGTTGGACTGGACGTGTGCGTAAAGTTGGCACGGAAATTACGCACCAGTCTGCAGCCCGTGTGCGTGTCCTCAGACGACCCCGTTCTCCGACTGTGCAGCTGCCGTGGTACGCTGTTGTAAATTCACCCAATGTTGTATAATAAAAGGCTAGAGATATAATCGCCATGGTAACCTATAGTAACAAACAACGAGTTCCAGCAGACATGCTGTGACTGTAATTCTTTACTGATGAATTCATACAAAATAATCCACGGCTTTCAGAATGATGGCAAATTAGGAGGAATGTCATGGTGAGTAACTATTTTAAACTAAACATTATGTCTTTTGATAGTGAAAAAGCGTGCATAGGAAGTTGAAATACACAAATAGAGAGCTGCAATTTTTAGGTGCAATGTGGGTCCACCATTTATTTGTCTCATGAAGATGTTATAGCTTTGCCTAGAATGTTCCACAGTATGGTATTAAAGTCATTCATCTCGTGCATTGAGTCTATTACAGGTGTTTTTTTATTGCTCAGAAACACATTGAAAAGCATGCATTTGCACTGAGAGAGGGCTCACTTCTGCACGGATCTGACCCTGATTTTTTTGCCGCATCGGGCACGGGGGCTTGACCCATGTACTACATTTGGTGACAATCAGGTCCATAAATGGCGGATGGACAGACACACAGACACACAGGGTGAATACAAAACTTGGTCAACCCTTCAGGGACCAGGTAACAAAACAAAGAACAAACACAACACAAAGGCAACATTCACACAACACACAGACAGCATTCATACTATATGATCCAGGATTTTATCATCACCACACCTACATTTGTACATAAGTGAAGAAAGAAAGCAACTCTATGTTCAAAAACAGGAGCAGGATGTTTGTAAGTATCTGAAGACTGATGCCTTAAAATGGTGGATTGATGTGATTGATCGGATCGAGGAGGGTAAATTGTTCCATTCATTTGGAGCTTTGAAGTTAAATGCTCTGCAGCCAGTTTCTTTTTTTATTCTAGGAACATTAAAAAAATAGTTGTTCAGTGTGACGTAAATTATATGCTGATCTAAATGGAATTAAAAACTCTTTTAGGTAGTTTAATGTTTAATGCCATACACCACTTGTAGAAAACTTACACAGTGCACCTTTAATTATAATTTCCAATAATGTGGAAAAATCATTTATCATTAGTAAACCATTAGTATTTAGATTTTAAAACATCTTGTATTATGTAGAATATAAAGGAGTTTTCTTGATTTACATTTCATTTTCATCACAAATATATACCATTAGGGTTTATAATAAATTAATTTTTGTTTTTACATTTTCTATTCGAATTGTGTGGCTTTTACAATCACAACATGGCTGCCACAACTGTCAAGGCAACAAAATCCATGCCTCTCTCTCGTGCTTTTTATTATACTTTACAGAAATCACTCACCAAGGTTTTTTCTTATGGGTGTGTTGTTTTGATACACATAGAGACAAGAGACGCCTGGACTCGTGCCCAGCTCTGAATGTTCCAGGACATTTTAAAGAACGTACATGTGATTCATGCAACATAAAATAATATTAGATTATGAAGTAATAATGTTAGATATTATTGCGTTGTGACTGTGAATGCCAATGGGGAAATTAAGGAACAGAGCCACTATACAAAGAGAGTAAGTGATCAGAATAAAAAGTGTAGGTCAGTTCTTTCATACATTTTGCAAAAGTTTTAGGATATGTGTGGGAAATGTTAGGAAATTCAATTCATGTTTGTTTAGGTTACAATATCCCAATCCCAAACAACAGAGAATTCTAATGATCCAATTTAATTTCTCTCTAGCGACTAGGTCAGGAATCGGAATACACTAGACTGTTCGCAAAAACCCTGGAAGTGCGAGTTCAGGCACCAGCTAATCAGAGAAGAGCCATACATTCTGTGTTGGCAACGATTCCCGAGATCGAGGATTTAAAGCTGGAACAAAGAGAATGTTTGGTGAATTTTATCAAGGAGAAAGACGTTATTGCCCTTCTTCCTACTGGATTTGTGAAAAGCTTAGTATACCAGTTAGTCCCGTTAGCGGCGCATTACATACGTCACGACCAAATAGCAGTTAAATGAAAAAAAGTACCCACCTACCATCAAGTGAACGAATTCTAACACTGTGAGGTCAGGCGGTTTCTAAGAAGTGAAACCGGCTGATGAATCAGACTAATGATGTGCTACATTAATTTACAAATTCGAAACAAACAACTGTCTATATCAAATTTTAGACAGTACTGACATTTGGTGAGTGAGCACATAGGGAAGTTATACCTGAGTTGCCTGCCAATCGAGAACGATCCAGAACAATATCTTTTTTATTCTGGTCCCCAAGACCTCTGTTGCACCTTGAGCTGAACTGAAACATGAAACATCCAATTGTTTATTTCAGTGACACGTGAAATGAAAGAGTTCACTGGTCACCCAAAATCAAACATCTCTCACCTCAGAGATCATTTCATTTGTTTTATTTGAGCAATTTGTTACACACTGAAACAAAGAAAACAAAATCCAAAAATTACAAAAAGTGACAGCAATTCTTGAAAAGTGTAGACAAAAACAAGAGCTTATTTTCACATGCAATATTGGTGGAAAACAGCTGTTTCTTAGATTTACACTTGATTGATCCACAAAGTAAATGATTTTTACACAGCGCTCACACATCACAATGTATTATAATGACAAAGAGCAAAAATATGGTATTAATAAATTCAAATTAACAACAGAATGATGTCAAATTTATATGTACAAATAAAAAAAATAGATATAAGAG